AAACAATGAAGAAATAGTAGCTGTCTCCACCATATTTAAGGGAAGATATTTATCCTTTATATCCAGAGTTTTTTATGTGATAAAGCATGTTTGCTTGCAAAATATTTATCTAATAGATGGATGCAACATAAAATTATAGAAAAGCACCATGAGCCCTAGCTGGTTTTGCTCAGTGGATAGAATGTTGGCCTGTGGACTGAAGGGTCCCGGATTCGATTCCAGTCAAGGGCACATGCCTGGGTTGTGGGCTCCATCCCCAGTAGGGGGCATGCAGGAGGCAGCCGATCAGTGATTCTCTCTCATCATTGATATTTCTATCTCTTTCTCTCCCTCTCCCTTCCTCTCTAAAATCAATAAAAATATATATATTTTTAAAGAGCACCATGAGCCGTAACCGGTTTGTCTCAGTGGATAGAGCGTCAACCTGCAGACTGAAAGGTCCTAGGTTCGATTCCAGTCAAGGGCATGTACCTTGGTTGTGGGCACATCCCCAGTAGGGGGTGTGCAGGAGGCAGCTGATCGATGTTTCTCTCTCATCAATGTTTCTAACTCTCCATCCCTCTCCCTTCCTCTCTGTAAAAAATAAATAAATAAATAAATAAATAAATAAATAAATAAATAAATAAAATTAAAAGCACCATGAACTATTGAATTAGGCATGCCTTTTTTATTCTTATCTCTCACTTTTCTTATTAATATTAATTGATGTCTTGTTTATTCTTTTGTTGTCAGCTAGCATGTGCCGAGAGACAAGCAGTAGAAGGTGCCAGTGCTAAGGAAAATTAATGGGGAACATTTTTGAAAGTTATAACATTCTATTCATTACTGTAATTTTTTTTTCCATTGGGAAAAAATTCACAATTACTTAATTTTAAGTCTAATACATTAGGTCCACCTTATGAGACACATAGTTGAAGATCCTTTGACCTACATGATTGACTAATGGGGCCTTATACTATCAGGATGGAAAAGACATAGAAGACAAGGAATAGGCTTTGAGCCATCATGGCCCTCTGAACCTGGATAAAGGCTTAACCTTTCCTGTTTAGAAATCATTTGGCTAGAGAAGCAAATCAACCACATGGACTATTTAACCCACGTGTTCTAAATTGCTACTGGAGAAAATATCACTAGAACAAGTGAGGAAAATTGTGCTACTTTTTTGGACAAAACACCAAAAAGTGACATAGTTGTTTAGAGGGTCTATTAAATAATATTTTTATTATGATCTCCTTTTTGGAAAAGGAGAAACAATTGTCTGAAGCTGTTGAAAATGTTGAGATTTAGAACATCCTATATGGTATAAAGGAAATGGCTAAAACTGCAATGTATCAGCAAATGGCACTTTTTGGTTTTAGGCTTTTGTGGTAGAGAGAATAATAACCCTCCAAAGATGTCCATCGTCTAATCCCCAGAACTTGTGACTATGTTACCTTACATGGCAAAAGAGACTTTGCAGATGAGGTTAAGTGAAAGGCTTTGAAACAGCGCTGTTATTCTGGACTAGAGGCCCGGTGCACGAATTCATGCACCAGTGGGTCCCTCAGCCTGGCCTATGGGATCAGGCCAAAACTGGCTCTCTGACATCCCCTGAGGGGTCCTGGATTGTGAGAGGGTGCAGGCCAGGCTGAGGGACCCCACCGGTACACAATCAGGGCCAGGGAGAGACGTGGGAGGTTGACCAGCTGGGGAGGGACCGTAGGAGGGCTCCAGGGTTTGTCCAGCTCATCTAGCTCAGTCCTAATCAGCTGGACCCCAGCAGCAAGCTAACCTACGGGTTGGAGCGTCTACCCCCTGGTGGTCAGTGCATGTCATAGCAAGTAGTTGAAAGGCCTTAGCATATCATTAGCATATTATGCTTTAATTGGTTGAACAGTCGACCGGACACTTAGCATATTAGGCTTTTATTATATAGGATAATCCAGGTGAGCCCAATGTAATAAAAAGGGGCCTTAAAAGATGGAAGAGGGAGGAGAGAAAGAGAGTGAGAGAGAGAGAGAAGATTGTGAAATCAGAGGTTGGTGTGATGCCATTGCTGAAAGGGGCTATGAGCCAAGGAATGCAGGTAGCCATTAGAAGTTGAAAAAGGCAAGGATCTGATTCTCCCTAGATCCTCCAGAAGAAACACAGCCCTGCCAACACTTGATTTTAGCCCTATAAGAGCCATTTCAGCCAAAGCCGGTTTGGCTCAGCGGATAGAGCGTCGGCCTGCAGACTGAAAGGTTCCAGGTTCGATTCCGGTCAAGGGCATGTACCTGGGTTGCAGGCACTTCCCCAGTGGGGGATGTGCAGGAGGCAGCTAATCGATGTTTCTCTCTCTCATCGATGTTTCTAACTCTCTATCTCTCTCCCTTCCTCTCTGTAAAAAATCAATAAAATATATTAAAAAAAAAAAAGAGCCATTTCAGACCTTGAGGGCTATAAGATAAATTTTTTTTTAAACCACCAAGTTTATGGTTATTTGTTATAGCAGCAGTAAAAAATTGTGAATGCTACCCACAACAACAAGAAACAAATATAGATTTCAAACTTTTGGGTTAAGCAAGGTAAAATAGTTGAATTAGTAGCAAGTGGAGTCCCATCCATTCTACTCCCAACCTGCCTCACCAGTTTCTAGAGCTTGTTTTAGAGGCAAATATGGCTTTTTGTTGAAATAGGTGATTCTAGGATTGAGATGGGACACATACACAATAAGTCTGAAGCATCTTGCAGTGACAGAAAGAGCTAAAAAACAAATGAAACAAACACAATAAGACAAGGATGGGGATATGTCCAAGGAACACGGGAACCAACGGAAAGGGCTCCTAATGGCCAAAATTGGAATAATTTAAGCAAGAAAATAATCGCATCAGTATTGGGCTATAACCCACGGCATAAAATAAATATCCATGAGAAAACCCAATGTGATCCTCGCCTTCTAAAATTCTGAGCATGTGGCCAAATGAAAAACTACATGTAAGCAGAAGTCACCGGGTGATATAAATACGAAATTAAATAAATAAGTAAGCAGGGTGAAGAAACAAATCTGTGTAAAAAAAATTCCAAATAATTTCTGTAGATGCTCTGCCCGCAAGGAGGTGAAGTGTAACTCCTCACCCTTTGACTGTGAGCTGCACATAGTGACTTCTCGGCAGAGTTCAGTCTAAAAAGCAGGGAGGGAGGAACTATGTGGAGAAATCTGCAACACTACTTCAGCCAGGTGATCAACGTCAACATCAGCAGTAACAGGTCATAGTAATGGTATGTACCCTTGATATGACATGATGAAAAAATGGCATTTTACCTCTCTGGTCTTCCTCCCAAAAGTCCATAACCCAGAACCCCTATCCAACCATGAGAAAACATCAGACAAATCCAGTTGAGGGCTGTACCACAAATACCTGACCAATTTTCTCAAAACTCTCAAAGTCACCAAAACAAGGGAAGTCTGAGCAAGTGTCACAGCCAACAGGAGCATAAGGAAACATGACAACTATATATAATGTGGAATCCTGGAACAGAAAAAAGGCATTTGGCAAAAAATAAACAAGTTTGAATAAGGTCTAGGCTTCAATTAATAATAATAATTATGTATGAATATTATTTCTTTAATAATAATGTATGAATATTATTTCTTTAATAATAATGTATGAATATTATTTCTTTAATTATAACAAAAGTACCATACAAATGTGTGATGTTACTAATAGAAATTGGGTGTGGGGTATATAGAAACTCTCTGCAAAATATAAAATTTTCTGTAAAAATTTAAAACTGTTCTAAATTATGAAGCTTATTAAAAAAATAAAAATCCTGAAGTCTAATGTAGTATCCATGGAGAGAATGGACCAATGACATGCAAGTCCTTAATTTTGTATCAATTGGCCTGTTGAATCCCATACTTGGAGGGTGTCCTAACAAGCCACTCTATTCTTTGGTTTTTCCCTGGAACAAAACCCCCAGAGACTCTGGACCAGAATTCAGCAGCTTCCAAGTAAGTATTCATCAAGAGTTACCATCACCACGCCCCGTGCCAGCCACGGTTATCCCAAAGGAGGAATGCAGTGTGGTAAGAAAGCAAATGAACACACTATTCCCATCTTTGTCCACTACACCCCTAAAGAACAGTTTTCTGTCTGGCATTATGAATTTGTTTTGTCCCAAGGGGTGGGTTAGAAAGAGGGGAGATGTGCTATTTCAATGTTGGAACTTTAGGCCTCCCTGTGAGCCTAGGGAAAGGTCTTTGTTAATGAGAACAAATGGCTGGGTGGAACAATGCTTCCTCTCAATTTCCAATGTTCCTTCCATTTGACAGGAGCAGTGTTACTAGCATAACGCTGGGTTAAAAAGTAACTTATCTGATTAATTAGTTCAGAAGGAGAAACTGAGCATGTACAGCAGACCCACCTTCTCATCTCCTTCCTTTGGGAAGTCATGGGTCTGGACAGGTAGCAGGGTCTCTGCCCTGTTCCTTCGTGTTTTGTGTTTTATAAATGTCCTTCCCTTATGGGGGAGCCCTCCAGAAATTCAGTGATTTCTCTGACTAGGTGGCAAATTCATATAACTCCAAGGGTCAGCATTAAGAAAACAGCTTGATTCTCACATCTAAGCCACATTCTCTATGGTAATGAGCAGGTTATTTTGGCCTCGTCTACCAGTTCTTGTCTTGTTTATTATGTGGTTCAGAACTTTGATAGACAAGAGAAGTGGCATGAATCACCCCCAAAGGGCCTAAGCTTTGGGGTAATACTGCCCAGGGAAGCCAATGCCCTGGTGTATTGAGCTCAACTGAAAACAAATAATTGCAAACGATGCCTTGACTCCAGGAATTGTGTATTGGGACATAAGACTTGGTACATAGGCTGGGACTCTCTCTCGGAAATGGTGGTGTTCAGAAAACTTCCTAAGCGTCTCATATGTCTTATCTGCAATGTCTGGGGTTGAGAGGTATTGCCTAGACCTAGTCTAAGCCTTATCTCCTATAAGCCAGAATCCTCTCTCCTATTCTTTTATTCTTTTCAAGGTGTCCATGGTTTATTGATAATATTACAGCATAGTAAAAGATTCAAACGGCTCCACACGGTGTTTTGAAATTCACCCCAACTGTAGGCTGAGTGGCCTGCCAGTTGGACAGACTGCCAAAGTCCAAGAGCTTCAGCATTTCCTTAGTATCAGGATCAACTTCAATGATCTCCTGATCCAGGGCCAAGACCTCGGGCATGTAGTTGTCCCTCCTCTCCCTCTCCTCCTCCTGCAGCTTGATGGAGATGCCTCGCACGGGGCCCCTCTGGATCCGCTTCATCAGGTTCGTGACATAGCCTGCAATCTTGTTTCGGAGCTTCTTGCTGGAGATAATGGCGATCTCCTCACACACGCGCTTGTTGGTGTGGAAGTCGTTGCCCAGAAGCGTATAGTACTTCTCGATGATGACCCGGGCCGCCTTCTTCATGGTCTTGGTGCGAACGCGGCCCATGGTGGCAGGTCCCTGTTGAAAGAGCCTCTCTCCTATTCTTGTAGACAACCGAAGGGTTGTCTATCAAATATCTTAATGAACATAAACAGTATCATAGATCAAGCAAGGCCAGTAATTGGTAGCCAGTAATTGTTGGGCCATATTTAGTATATCCAGAATGGTTACAACATAATTCTTTATGTTAGTACTAGAGGCCCAGTGCACAAAATTTGTGCACAGAGGGACTGGGGGAGGTCCCTCAGCCTGACCTGCACCCTCTCCAATTCGGGAGCCCTCAGGGGATGTACTACTGATGGCTTGGGCCCACTCCCCGTGGTTCTCTGCTCTCTGCGGGGCCTGCATACTGCACACCATAGGGATGGGCAAGCAGGCCCTGCTGGGTGCTGCCTGCAGGCCCCCCTTGCCTGCTCGCAGGTCACCGTGACGACCACCCAGGAGGCCATGCTAAGTGCTGCCTGCGGGTTGCTGCTGCCACCACCCCAGCAGGCCCTGCTGGGTGCTGCCTGCAGCCCCGCTTGCCTGATCCCCAGTCGCCACCGCCACCGCCCAGCAGGCCCTGCTGGGTGCTGCCTGCACCCCACTTGCCTGCTCCCCGGTTGCTGTGGCGACCGCCCAGCAGGCCCTGCTGGGTGCTGCCTAGGGGCCCCATTTGCCTACCTGCGGGTCGCCGCCACCACTGCCCAGTAGGCCCTTGCCTGCTGGGCTCACGTTGCCGGGGTGACACTGCCAGTGTCCTGCCCAGCCGCTATGGGCGCCGCCATCTTTGTCACAGAGTGACAGTTAATTTACATATTACTTTTTTATTAGATATGATTACCATTGGTTTATTATGTTGCTCACAGGTTCCATAGCAGTGGTTCTCAACCTTCCTAATGCCGCGACCCTTAATACAGTTCCTCGTGTTGTGGTAACCCCCAACCATAAAATTATTTTCGTTGCTACTTCATAACTGTAATTTTGCTACTGTTATGAATCGTAATGTAAATATCTGATATGCAGGATGTATTTTCATTGTTACAAATTGAACATAATTAAAGCATAGTGACTAATCACAAAAACAATATGTAATTATATATGTGTTTTCCGATGGTCTTAGGCAACCCCTGTGAAAGGGTCGTTCGACCGCCAAAGGGGTCGCGACCCACAGGTTGAGAACCGATGCTCTATAGGTACTTGAAGAACAATATTGTGTAAGTAGCTCTTTTTGGATATATTTCCCTAGAGATAGAGTAACAGAATACCCGCCTCCAAAGTAAATCATGGAGAACATTTAGATGTATTTCAAATCTCATACCTAGATTAAAAGGAACATTTAGTGAACCCATGACTACATTCTTTTCCCAGGACTACCTGTCATTGCCCCGTGTGTGGCCATCACACACCGTCCTGGGAAATGAGTGCAGACTTTGCAGCCACACCTCTGGTCTTACCAGTTTGGGCTTGTTTCCTCTTGGTAGTTGGCTCAGTTCAGCTAATTTGCTCTTGGCTCCTGGTGTTTGTCTATGAGTTTCTTGAATATCTAGTGACACTTCCAATGAGACTATGGGATTAAAGTATTTTAGAGATATCCTTAGAGGCTATTTAATTTACTTATTATTTAATAGGTTACCTAATTAAGAATCTCAAGTGACAGATAAGGCTAGTGAGGTTTAAATGAGTTTCTTAATGTCACATTGCTATCTAGTTAGCAGTGCTAGGTAGACAGGACAAGAACTTGGGTCTTCTAGTTCAGTGTGTTTTTTGTTTGTTTTTTTTTTACTACCTGTGCTGCTTCCTATATATTCCACCTAGTGCCTGCTGTATTCAATGCACTCTCTTCTACTGAACATGACTAAATTATCTGATGTTGTCAAATAACAACAGTTCCTAAGAACCTTTAGCTGGCTTCAGGATTGAAAAAAACAAATAAAATCTGAAGGCTTCAGCAAGACATGACAAACTAAATACCAAACACTGACAGTATGTTGTCAGCTTCCCAGGCAAGAAGGGACAAAGCCAATTACTAATTTTTCCAAGGAACAGGTGTGACTCATCTAACTTTTGCTTTTCACCAGGATTTAGTTCGAAAGATACAAGACTGTTGACAGATCACTTTGAGAGTCAGTTACTCAAAGTTGTTTCACTCCTATTGTTGAAGTTATCTTTTCTTTACAATTTTCTATGTCCTTTAATCTGAGCAGTCAGATCTAAGCTCCAATGGTCAAGGTCATCTACTTCACTGTTCTCACTATCTCTAGAATAGATTCTACTAATCCTCTTTCATGTACAGTGGGGCCTTGACTTACAGGTGTCCCGACTAACGAGTTTTTTGAGATACCAGCTGTCTCTCGGCCCATTTTTTGCATTGAGTTGATAGAGTAATTTGAGTTAACGAGCTCCTTAACGAGCTCGGTCTCGGAACGAATTAAACTCGTAAGTCAAGGCCCACTGTATTCAGTAACCACTTTGGGACACGTCCCTTCCACACCTCCCTCTTATCCTTGCCTAGAACCCCATCCAATCTACTTTTTTGAAGATAACACAAAAGGAGAAGAAAATGTTGCTGTGTGGCAGATTAGATAGTATCCTATCCTTTTCCCCCCCTAGCATCCTATTCTTCAATTTCATGCCCTTTTGCAAAATAAATAAATAAAGTTACAGGGCAGCAGTATGAGAGACACAGATTGAGAAATGTGCACATGTGTTTGACCACCTTTGATCTCACTGAGTCACCACTCTAGAGGTCATCCCTGGTGGCAACAGTGGCCACATTCTCTGCTATTCCTATTGGACGGAGTCCCCATGGGATGAAACCGGGATTTGGATGTTACTGAAGTACAGTGAAATAACAGCGCTTCCAGTTTTCTCCTGCACTTTCAGCTTTGCCTGACTGTTGAGGAGCCTTCTAGAAAAAAACTCAAATCATACCCACTATTTATATGTGGGTATGTTTGAGGAGCTGGGGGAGCATAGGCAAAGGGAGGAGCAACAGAGACAAATTGCAGGCAGGACTCTAGATTCCTATGAGAGCACTCATCAGAAAGGAAAGTGTGTAGTGTGACCAGCCGCGCCCAGCCTCAGGGCCGGAGCGCTGATTAGCATGGCCGTTCTGGGACCAGCATGGTGGCTGCTACCTAAACTGTCCTAGTTACTCCCCATTGGTGCCTTGCACATGTTCTAGCGAGGAGGGAGGGGGGCAGGTTAAGGCTGCCTGTAACACTGAAAGAACTGTTTTTGATACATCTGAGAGCCATCAGAATCCAACGGTGTGAGTTAACGTGAACATGAGTTACTTGGGTGTGGCAATGGTTAGAATTACCATGAGATGTTTCTCATAGTTTTTCTTGACTTTATTTTCTCTCTTGATGAAAATTTTGCCAATTTCATAAAACATGGAACCCCACAGGCTTTACAATTTACACAGCTGATTGCTGTGTGCTTCTGACAGCTCTGTCACATTTGTCATGGTGTTTCATTACTTTTTCCCTGGCGTATTGGGAGGGCATATGAGGATGTTATCGTTGGCTGGTGGGGTAGGCCTGTGGTCCCTGCTGCTCTCCCAGCATGTTTATGGTAGTGGCATCCCTCTGGTACAATGGCAAACAGAAGAGAGAAAGCTGTTCTTACCTTCTTCACAGAGACAGCTTGAGCTGTGTTGCTGCTAGCCCTGGGGGAAACTTTATCTGAATGAGGAAAAAGTCATCTCCTGGGGCAGTCACAGCTCCTGGGGGCATGGCTTGGTGCCCTCGTACAAATGGAAACCAAGCTTCTTCCTCCCGGAGAACACATGTGAACTAGTCGTTGGTACCCATGTGTGCCCTCATGGAGTGCACTTGTGCACCAAACAACCTACACAATACCCAACTGTGCAGAATAGCACAACTGTATGCACTGTGCATGTCAGAGAAGCTCATGGGCACATCTCTGAATACAGCACTGAGGGGAGGTCCAGGAAGGAAAGAGGCACAGGCATCGGCCTAAGCAGCAGCATGGCCACAGTGGTCCAGATAAGTGGTATCGGTGTTAGTGGCAGCGCCTCCTCGAGAAGCCTGTCCCCAGATTTTGCTGAGGAGCCGAGGTCCTTGGAACTGCCTCCCAGCCCCAGGAGGAGGACAGAGGGGGCTATGGTGCTTCCTTGGGCTGAGAGGAAGTGACCGTGCAGCAGCTTCCACCGCCCAATGTGGCCAGGGCGTCCTGGCCTGGGCCCAGTACCGACTGGGGATCGAGCCTGCACCCTAGGTATGTGCCCTGACCAGGAATCAAACCCACCACCTTTTGTCTTACAGAACGTGCTCCAACCAACACAAGTCCCCTCAGGAGTTCTGGCCACTGACGAACTTCCCCCTCCCCAGTCAGGACCTCTTGGCAAGACTGTAACTAGTGATGTTTGTACAACCAAAGATTCTATTTTGTGGTTTCAGGAAAATAAAATTGACTAAGACTGTGTTTAAAAGAGAGAGAGAGAGAGAGAGAGAGAGAGCAAGCCAGCCTCAAACATGCCAACAATGACCACAGCCTGGAGTAGGTGGCACATTAGAATGAAAAACACTGGGTCCCAGGATGAACAAGGGGAGCAGAGTAGATAGGTCCTCTCATTGAAAGACTGTCTGTTTTGCTAAACATGGTAATTTGTCAGGGATGCAAGTTTGGAACTCGAAACTGAGATAAAATGTATTCATCCGAATAATGAAGGGTTGAGGAATTTGCATGAGGCTCTGGGAAGGGGGAGTGAAGAGTAGCAAGGCTGGAGACTTAGGCGTGGGGTGGAAAAGATCAGCATTGGCAGAATAAGAGAGAGAGAGAGAGAGAGAGAGAGAGAGAGAGAGAGAGAGAGAGAGAGAGAGAGAGAGAGAGAGAGAGAGAGAGAGAGAAACTGGGAAAAAGAACCATGATGTAGGGGGAATTTCCAAGTGAATTGCTGCAATCTACATTATGTAAATCATGTCAGCCCTTCTGTAAATTCTGCTTGTTCACTAAGACCCTGATATGAAAAGATATAAGGTGTATGAATTTGAATCATGCAGGTAAA